TAGCTATTTGTTTAGTTTATTGTTTCCGTAATTATTGCAGCTATTAGATGATAACTCGTTGTTATGTGAATGCAATTCTACATTAGGGTAGCCAACACTAGCAAGAATTATAATTACAGAATCCCAGTATGTCCCCTTTGCAAAAGTTTTTGGAAACGTTTACCTTGATTACATCCGGCACTAATGTTTTAAAAGCCTTGCAGTGTTTCAAATCCTTATTCAAAAGATTAGAACCAGATAAACGTCCACTGATAAGTAGTTCCACTGCAATAGTAACAGGAGTGAGGCTAGATATAGACCGCATTTTGAAGCAACTTTCTTTAATAAATAAAAATCTAGGATTATATTTTGTAGAGATAATTTTATATGTTTTTCGGTGCCAGGAAGGGTGAGAAAATTAAATGTATTTTTGTCGGGATTCGAACCACTGGTCTTCTAATTACTAGCTGGGCATACTAGCCATTTGCACCACGACAGTACGCATGGGAATTACGCGAAAATTCCTCATATTTTCCCTTTGAAAGAACGTCTGGCAAAAGGTAGGTAGTAACGACCTATTATTCACCACATTTTAATCTGGGTTCTACTGTAGAGATCTTTTTTGTATTTTTTGGAGCCAGAAAACATAAGAAAATAACTTGTACCCTGGCCTTAGATTCGACCCACGTATCTTCCAGTTGCACCACTTAATTACTTCAGTCGTTAGTGGCGGTGATTGCTGTAACAATGGATTCGGGATCGAGTCCCGGAGGCGTAATGGCAAACCGCACATTGAGTTGATCAATGTTAAACGAATTTCGCTAGCTACACATGCCCAGAATAGAATTTGGCACAATTTTAAAAGACGATAAACATGGTATATGGTTGATATTGTGTTATCTACGCGTAAATAGTTCGGGGTTTTAAAATTTGTTAGGTTGTAAGTTGCTTCATTACTTTGATTATAATTATCGATTGTAAACTACGCACATTTTCATTTAAGAAGGATTACAAAACAGGAAACATTACAAGATATATTAGCTGAATGCTTATTGGTTATACTTCAATTGAGCATTTACTATACGTTCCTTTCATATGTACTGTCAATAATTAAGGAATAAATCCAGTTTAAATTACTGAATTAAAGTCAAATAACCGATGTTAAATTAAATGTTTAAGAACAAATAAAACAGAACGAAATGAAACAGAAGCACATGCAATAAGCACACAAATTTCCGTAGTACTGCAATTGTAAAACAGTAAAACCAACATGACTAACAGGCTTGTGTAGGGTTGCCCCTCTTAGTCGCCAGTATTTCCTCCCACGCCAATGGTACACCACTGAGCATGCGCATTAACCGAAATTCGTTAACATTGACCAATTCAATGTGCGGTTTGCCATTACGCGTCCCGGAGATTGCATAGATTATTGTAAGTGTATAGTGTCTGTGCGGCAAAGGGGCCCTCCAAATACACGGCGAGCTGAAAATGTTCTCGAATGGTTGGTGGTTAGGGAAGAGGGGTGGAAGACCCGCGAGCCGCTCTTCTCCCTAGAGTGTTCTTCATAAAACTGGAGTAGAGCTGTTCTATTAGTACTTCTACAACATATGGTGAAATTTTATGTACTACTCTCTTACACCTGTATCTTCCAGTTGCAAATTTGAGATGCTAACCAATTACACTTAAGGAGACGCACGAGGGAATGCAGTAATTTTTCATAGTCTGAATTAATTTTATAATTTGAATAGGTGTATTTCCCTTACATCTTTTCAAGAAGAAAAGCTGAACTATGTAATCCTTACATTAAATCTCTCTTTTGAGTCACTTGCAACTCGAAAATGATCACATACCAACATTTCAATATTTCTAAAGACTAGCCTAATAAAATACTCACTGTTATATAAGCTTCATTACAATACAGTTATTGGTGTAATAGTACGAATCGAATATCACCAATTCTTGCCATCACCAATTCTCATGAATAGAAATAAGATAAAACTTGCCAATGTTTATAATGACACTTGCATATCCTTTCCCATTATTTTTTAGCGTAACATATTCGAAAGAGCCCTGTTTTTCATATTAGCTTTTACAAAAATTTAATTTGTTGGGAATACCATCTGAATGGCTGCAAAATTCATGAAAAGAAACTATTCAGGGTAGCTTTAAAAATGCAGCAGTTTCTTCACAGCAAAGCATACTCTGAAAGAATATCTTGCTGTTCTAGCCTTTTTTTTTTGTAAACCATTCCCTCAGGGGACTGCAGGAGATGGACGTGCTGAGCATCGAAACTTGGGTAAAAGTCAATAATTAACTTTCATTATAGAAGAGGTATAAGTTCTTTCAAACGACTGAGAGACTGATGGGCCGCAATCATTTAAATTATTAATCAACGCAGAACTTTGGCCCTCGCAGGCATTATGAAATCTCAAGAATGAAATGGAAATAATATTATATACGTACTTATTATACTTATTATAATCTCCGTGAATTAAATTTCAAACAAAATATGAATTTTGAACCTCCTGGCTTTGACCTGAACAATTTGTAGGAGAATTTCTAACAAGTTTTTTTTTTATTATTATTATTAAACTATAACTATTAAGATAGTGATTCCAGAAGACTGTGTTTTTGAACTGTGCTGTGAGCTTAAAAACATTTATTTTAATAAAGATTCACAAATAGTATAAAACATTGCTCTAAGAATTTAAAAGTATTTAAGAACCGCTGATGTTGAGAGATATGAGGGTGTCACTGATTATAATTCAAATGGTAGATTGGATGGTAAATTCAAATTGTACTACTGATTAAAGATGATATCCAGACGAAAAATCGATAAAATTATCGATTTTTTGCAATTATCGATAATAAAGAAAAGAAGCAGTATCGCTGTTGCCGTTAAAAAACGCTGCTCAACGGCATTTTTTTGTTTTTCCAATATTACCAGCGGTTACTATTGAAAATCCCAAAACATACTTTTTTATTTTTAGCACTGGAGGTGCTATTGGTCTCGATTTTCACTTTAAATAAAAGGATGTAGCTACTAAGTATTATTGCTATATATTATTTTTACAAAAATAATATATTTAACATTAAAAAGTGTATTCAATACTTATTACTATGAGGGATACTTCAGGCAACTTTGAAATACCTCTCTGTAGCTTGACCACGAATTTTTTCTGAACTTTACAAACAAAAGAGATAATTTCTGCTTTTCGGAATTTCATTTTCAATTTGGATTATTGAGTTCTCTTTATTTTCTCACTTTTTATTTTATTTTCTTTTATAATTTTCCCCCTTTGCAGTGCTATTGTACATTTGTTTATTTGTTTTGTTAGTGTCATGTCTATTCAATGTGAATTATTATCGTGGTATACTTTGTGGAAGTCGGAATTGTCTTAACAAACAAAAAAACAAACAAAAAATCTAAAAATGTGCTCTTTTTAACTATTTTTTGATTTTGCTATGGCATTTTATGTAACCTAAGTACGAAGAAAGTGATGCATTATAAATAAAGTTAAAAAGACAAAACGTTAATAACAAACAGACCAAAAAGTTGTAAATGGTCTTGATAAGAAAACTGAACTGGGGACTGTAAAAAATAATAATAATAATAATAATGGCACCACTAACACTGTATCCGGAATTCTAAACACAGGCTGCTTTTAAACATTTTCTGATTTCACTGGGTAATTTTATGTGGCGTAAGTGTGAAGAAAGTGATGTTTAATAATAATGTTCAAAAGTCAAAAAATATTGTGTAGGTTATCTTATTAAGAAATCCAAACGCTGATATGAGAAGAGACTTGAGTAGAAAAATGTACGGCAAAACTTTATCGTGAATTCTAAAAATGCCGTATTTTAAAAAATGTTGTGATTTTACTGTTGAACGTTACGCCACGTTAGGACAAAGAAAACAATCTTTAATAATAAAAAGTAAAACAAAAAAGTTGTGTTAACTGGCACGAATCCAGGAACAGATCAGTAAACTGCGAGCTCAGCAAGAGCATAAAAAACCCTAAGAAACCCCTCCTGTCGATACTAAAATCTGAATCTTTTCAGATTTATTTAAAATTAAAATTTTTGTTACTTAACTTTTTTAAATACCGATCATATTGGTAATAATGAAACTGATGATAAAACCCTTAGTATGGATGAGAAGAAGTGCATGGAAAATGGATGATAGAAATCAAATCATTACGAATTAATTCACGCGAGAATTACAATATTGTTTGGCAACGTTGCCTCATTTGGTTAATAAAGCAAAGACTATCTTTTATATGCATTTTGAATAGATTTGTACTGAAAGTAATGTGTGCAATAACACGATTGACTGGAGAAATTAGTATGGAAGGTTGTAGATCGGATGTCAATAATCACAAGCATAAGAACGATGAACATCTGATATAAGTTTGTAGACTCATTTGGTTATTTTGAAGCAGGAGAAGTGAAAAATGAATGTGCAATACCCTCGCCGGGACTTGGACCTCTCGAATACGCGTCGAGTGTGCTACCGTTACACCACGAAGGCATGCATAAAGGAGAGAGAAAATACCTTATAAACTATCCAGTAATTATAAACTATCCAGTATAAACTATCCAGTAATCCAGTAATCCAATATTGCAAGTAAAAGTACTGCATTTAAGGCAAAAAAAAGTTACGCCCGAAGATCTAATTTTCGTATCATGGAACATTTAAGAAAGTTTGTTTTATGACTGATTGCGAATGTTTTCTTACGGTACACAAATGATACTGGTGTATTTAAAAAAAAATATTTTACAGTTTATTTGTACAACTATAAAACGAGTTTCATTCAAATGCTACTAATATAAATTGCTGTTTCGTGTGAATTATTAAAAATTATTTAGTTTAATTTTTTTGTCACTGTTGTTTTATTATTATTTTTTAACATTTGCAATATTATCAATGATTACACTTTTTAACATTTGCAACAAATAATTGTAGCATTATTTCTATCTAATCTTTGTTACAATCTAATTTATGTCCATGACTTTTCCAGATGAGTTGCTGCTTCTGGCTTCCGGCTCAAGCTATCAACTTCGCTTTTCTCCCCCCGTACACCCGTGTGGCTTTCGTGGGGGTCGCCTCCTTCGTCTGGGTCAACGTCCTCTGCCTCGTCAAAAGACAAGAGGTGCGGTCTCTGACCACGAAACTTTGATGCTGTTACATCATCTAACCCATTTAAAGCTCACCTGAGCCATAAATATTAACTGTAACCAACTACTCAGATGGAAAATTATCGCTGTTTCTGAGAGGTAACGGTATGATTAATGGTTTCAGCTAGGTCTGTCCTAAGCGAGGATTATTTCACCGCATTATTCGATGAATTTCCAGTATTTTAACACACTATAAATGTACACGTTAAATAAACTTTAATAGAAAGTGGACAAACATTAGCATCAAGAACCGAGTTAAATCCTTTACGCATGATTATAGAAATATGTGAAGAGAATATTTTGTTTACTTTTATGTAATTTGTCTGGTGGGTAATCGTAGCTTATCGAAGGAAGTCAGTTTATGAGCTGACATATAGGAAAATAGCATAGACATTCATATGACAAAGTAAAAACATTTTTCTGGTTTGACTCAAATATGGACATCATTATCGTGTGTGTGTTTGGAGGGGGGGATCGTGTATAATTTGCGGTGTTATAGTTTAGAAGTTCTTTTAAGTAGCTAAATTTGATTCGGCAAGTAAGTTATTGATCAGGCCTAACTATTTAAGAAATGTTGCAGCCGACAGAGACTTTTCTTTTCCACGTTGTTTATTCATAAGTATAAAATTTCCATTTCGTTGGAAAAACATTCATTCTGATAAATCATACGAAATTTTTTACCTTGTAAATTATCCGCAGAATATTTACCAATATCTGTCCAATTAACAGCACTGCCAATAATAATTTTAGTTTCTTGTTCGATTATTGATGCTTCTTTTCAGTATTTAAAGCATTAATAGCGCTTTTTTTTTTTAAATACTAATTTTTTAATAATATGCATAACTTTTCAATAATCTCTCTGCAAGTACGTGAGCTTGAAAATAACAATAAAAAACCCAGAACAAAGATGCCTTTTTTTAAGTTGCGCGTTTGCTCGAGACACGTTAGTTATTTTTATGCTGAGCATATAAATTAATAAATCATTCATGTACAAAAATTTACATATCATTGCATTTTTTAAAAAAACTACTTCCCCTTTTTAAAATTATTTTAACTGCGTTATGTTGGCAGTGAGTCGAAAATTTTAATGTTAGTAAATATACCTAGTTATCACTCTAACAGCAATTTTATCAGTGATTAAATACATAGTTCATCATGTCGTAATATAATTTTATGAGTATGTTACGGTTCGCATATGAATATTTATTTAGATAAAAGTGGAATTATGATATAATTTCTAGAAAATAAGTTTTGCAACTGAAAGAAATCTTATCTAACAGCCAATAAGTGTCTGCTAGATAACATTGATTTGACTATTATTGAATTATTACTTAATGAATAGTAAAATAACATAGATTTTATTTACTTAATTTTAAATTTTACTAATTTATTTGTGTCGCATACAGAATATCGTGGTTTATTTAAAGATGCTAAAGAAAATTATAGTTGCAGAAAATAATTTACATGTTCATTTACTTAATTTTAAAGTAATTTTTTTGAAATCACTATATAACTGAATGATTTGTTTAAATTTAATAATAAATTGGCAGAGTAATCAAAAAGTTATTGTTGCAGAAAATACTAAACTAATTTATATATAATTTTTTCAACATGCTTGTGGTAATATTGCTGGGAAGAAAGATTTTTTAATTCCTTTCAGAATAGCAAAGGCCATAAGAATCCGTCTATGTAATAAATTTAAAGGAAATACTCCAATCTGGACTTCCAAACTTAGAAAATCTTAATCTCAAATGGCATTGATTTAAACATGAAAACAGTAGTTTACAAGAGCCTGTTTTCTTTAAAACGGAAGGCCCACCAGCGGCCGAGCGAAAGTCGCTGAACACTGGTAGTTCAGTCCGGAGCTCGAATTTCGGCAAACGGGCTGGCTGCACGGAGGTTTTTCACATGTGTAATATGCATACGAGCCATTTTTTCTTAGAAAGTCATCCACGATGGCATTCCTTCTCTTTGGCAGATATTCCTTGCATGCTTTGCCATAACCAAATAAACCAACTTTTTAATGAGTAGAATTATTCTGTTAAATACGAATAATTACAAAATTTCGCAGCTTTCAAAGTAAAAAAATTCTGTACATCATAATTTAAATTTTGGATTGTTAATAAAAATAGTGACTTCCCCTTGAAATATTATTTAATTCTAAAATTAAAGCGTTTAAAATCTAGCTATAGCATATCCAATGAGTGTTAGCATGAATTACAGTTTGGAATAATTAAATAACTCCTAGAAAATAAATCAATTAGTTGCTAGAATATGTCAAAGTCATTTGATAGAGCTGATAATATTAAATTTTAAAGCTATCAAAAAACATTACCATAAACTTATATTCAGAAACAACTGTAGTCTTAAACTTTAAATTAATATTTAGATTTCATTAAATTTTTATGTACTGTTTTTAACTGTGATAACAAAGGAAAAATCTGCATAATTTACTTGTACAGTTGCGTTCTATTCTCATGTAATTAATGTACAGTTTAAATCATAGGTCCTCAAAATAAGTCTGTGTTCTGTGGAATGCTAACGTTTCCAGCAGCTTCTGTAAGAGTTCCTTAAGTCAAAATGAAAATTTAAAAGAAATTTTGAATTCCATATAGACCACAAAACTATCAGTTTAAAATAATTATACAGTTATTAAATAATATTCTTATTTGTACTCATATTGTTACCTAAATAATGTAACACAAATCTGTTTTTATAAGTAAAATAGTAATCAAATAATGGTTTTCTTGTCGTTTTTCACGGAGAATGAACATGGCATTGTTATACTTTCAATACTTAGTATTTACCTTTCCAAAACTAGTGCGAAAATGAACTCTAAAAAAAATTAGAATTTTAGGGGCTTCACAGAGGGGGGAAAATAAGGTATCATGGCTTCCTGAGCCAACAAAGTTTAAAAATCACAGTTATATAAAAGCGCTTATTAATGACTATTTTCATATCTTTCTGTGTTTCAACTTTCAAAGCACTTTTAAAGATTTTTTGTTTTATTTTATAGTTTATGGATGAATCATCTGAGGTAAAGTCTGAAGAGAAGAGATGAATACTGAAAAAAAGAAGATGGACATAAGAAGAAATATTTATATCCAGTAAATACCATTTCGTTGCGTACAGAACTCTGGTCTACAGAGCTTTTTGTAAGATCTAGGAAGGTGTAAATAATCAGTTTGACTTTGAACAATACCGTATTTTTCATATTTGGGAAGAGCGTGAGAACTTGATGTTACACGTATTTAAAGTATCTAGATTGGTGATATTTTATGTGATTATTTCATAAAGTTTATTCACTAATCGTAAGTGTCGATTTGCTTATTTGCATCTATCATGCTAACACTGAGTACTCATAGAGATTTTTTAAAACCCATTCTGGAAATTTCCTCCTCTCACTCATGTTTGATTGACATTAGATAATCCATTGTGTTTCTTCCTTTTTTTAGGATCTTTTCCTACTAACATTTTTTTCATTAGCCTTGCGCCTCTATAAGGGTCGGACGTGGTGGCCATGACGGACAGTTATAACCATGCTTTTTCTGGAATTCGAAGTCAGGATTACTAACCACTTTACTGGCTGTGCGACTTAGTAGTAATATTATTGACATGAAAATTGAAAGCAATGTTAACATAATTTTTTCTTAAAAACCAACTTTTTGGTCAAATATATATCGAAATATTATTAGTTCCAAACTGAAACATTTTCACTACTATCTCCAAACACTTTTGTCCTTGTAGTTGCAGTAATGACGCAAAAAAATTCAAACTTCATTTGTTTTATGTTTCTGAAGTATATGATTATTTAGGATCACGCAGATCGACCTTTAGTTTCAGTTAGTAACGCCATAATTAAAATGATATTCTTTCCACTACCCGAGTTCGATTCTTGGCAAATGGGCTGGCTGCGGGATTTTCCCCATGTGTGTTTCCCATCAGCCACTTCCCTTAAAACGTTCTCCACGAATTTATTCCTTCCCTTAGGCAAATAGCCGTCCCTCGTGTGCTTTTCAATATTCAAATAACCTAACATAACCTAACCTGAATATAGATGCTTTTGTGAAAATCCGAGCTAAGTTACCTTTCTCAAAAGAATTTTATAAGGAATTCGTCGCGTGTTTTAAAATATGTCCAAAAAAAAAAAAAAAAAAAAAAAAAAAGCGTTACCTCTCCCAGATGAAATTTTACGTTACAGATTGCATTTATTTCAATGTTTAACTTAATATGGAGATTTTCATGAATATTTTGTTATTTTACATATCATTGACGATTAATTAAAATTGATCGGAATCACAATATCTCAATGGTTACGATCACAAAGCTCAAATTTATAAATTTCATTTTTAATTATTTCTTAGAATTCAATAATAACAATACAGATCGTTAATTGTAACTGCAAGTTATAAAGGCCACTAACGCATAACTGTTAAGACTTGGGAAATTCATATATTGTAAATTTTAAGCAATTTATTTTTCAAAATGTGAAATGGAATTATGGCAAAAACACTTATACTTTTTTTTCCCTTTAAATTTAAATTTTGAAAACTACAAAATTAGTAGAATATAATAGCTAGAGACCATAACTCTGGAATCGCCATCATATAGTTACGTGTTTTAGTTGCAGTCCATACAAACTTTCCTTTTTGTTTGTTTAAAGAATCCATAGGGTATAATGTCTTAAGATCATAATTCTGGTATAATCATCATTGTTAACGCGTTTTAATTGCAGCTAATGCAGTCTTTTTTTGAGGGAGATATAAAATTAGTAGAATATAATGTCTCGAGATCATGACTCTGGAATCTTCATCATTGTTATGCGTTTTAGTTGCAATCAATACAATTTCTTTTTCAAAATAAAATCATACAAATCCAAACCTTTATGTTCAGATATCAATGATTCCACATATAATAGTACAATTAATAATACAGTTTACTGTTTAAAATTGATTTAATATGTTACATAGTGAGACCAACTTTTGTCCAAATTTCTTCCCAATGATTTGAAATCTGTCTTAATTTTTAATATTGCAATTCGAGCTGCATTTATTCTGAAGAAACCAGTAGTCGTAATCTACTTTAGTAGCTTTCAATAACAAAGTCCCTGAGACACACACAATAGCTCGACATCAATCTTTATAAAAGCGCGCTAAAATTCTGTCTAACTTTGTAGATTTCAACCAACTGCGAGCTTCCCGTATTTTCTTATTGTTATGGAAACTTTGAGATTTATAAAATTTGACCAATTACAATAGACATTTCGCATACGCATTCAGCTACGCGGTTGAAGATCATTCTCAATTCAGACGTTAAAAATTGAATAAAATAGGAGAAAAAAGAGAGCAATCAGAAATCCATTGGAGGATCGCATGTGGCCCTCCGATTGCTATTCAGTTGCTATGCCGTTCTAAAATCCGACTTTTATCGAGTTTCATTTAATCATGTTTTTAATTTTAATTGCCTTAATTCGATGTTTAAGAATAAAGTATATAATTAACACGTAGTTTAATGTAACCTTTTTTATTGTTGTAATATTCGTATGTTTAAAATTATGTGATGCATAAAAGTAACTTTTAGTGTGAAAGAAAATATTCTGAAATCAAAGCAACCATTTTATTTGGATGATTGGTAAATTACAAAACAATTGCAATTACTTTTTCTTTCTATTACATAAAAATAGAACATACTGTTTTATTGAAAATGTAAGGCACTTTCATTTAGATACATGGTGGCATTTACACAACTTTCCATTCTTTGGTTAGCAAGTTATTCATTTTTTTGAAAAAAAAAATTAATTTCTTTTAGAGGAAAAGTAGAGCTTATCATATATTTAAGTTTTATTTTCACATACAATATGTGACAAAACAATTTCATTCTAGACTTATATTAATGTTTAGAATTTTTATTGTGACAGTATTTATCAATTTTTTAATACGTTATGAAAATAATTAGTTTTTTTATCTTCTATTATCGTTATCAGATATGCTTATGTACACTAATATTCATAAATTAAATTAACATGCAAAGTTCCACATAAAATCCTTCATCTCTCTGTTTAATATATAATACATTTTATCTTGAACCATAATATAATATGCACAAGTAGAGAGAGAGAATTATATCAAAATGCTTAAACATTCATCGAAATAACTGACACTGCGAGTGATGTTTTCTATTTTATGCTTTCCTTATGATACACGGCAATCCAATAAATATTTATACATACACGCTCAAATTCAGGAGCAGTAATGCATACAATGCAAAGCATTATGTGTTTATACATTTGTGCAACACATCATGCGCGTAGAAATGTATTACTTAAATTAACCATTCATTTACATACAGTTAAAAGTTTAAGCTAAATTTACAATAATGTTTCCAATTAACTATACTGCACATAGACTAAATTATTGACAAAAATTTAAAGGAAAATTTTTTAATATTAAAGTTGTCATTTGAACATTTACCTTTGCGAAAGGAACAGTGATAAAACTTGATTTTTCCAGTACTTAAAGCACACATAAAAAAATCTTTATGCACGTAAAAAATGATTTCTCTCTAAACTGTGAGAAGTAAATAAAATAGAAATGATTTATTTTTAATACGAATATTATGTTCTTTTAGAATGCCAAGTACACACATCGTATTTGTAATGAATGCATATTTATCCGAATCGCTTTCTTTATTAGGTTTTAGACTGTTCTTAGACTCTTAATAACGTAGTAAAAATATGAAAAATTCTGTAACAGTGTCAGTTATTTTGATTGAAAGAAATGATACAAATGGACGAAAAGAATGTACACAAAAAAATAAATAATGAAATAAATAAATAAAATGAACCATAACCCATATCTGCACATCAAAGATGACAGATTGGCACTTTAAGGACTATCATAAAAACCCTGAAAACATGATCACGATATAGAGCAAAGTAGAAGAACTTTTGAACTTAAAGCAAATAATAGCTGAGCAATAAATAATAAAATGATATCTTCTTTTAAAATATTATCGCAACTGAAACTTTTCAAATTAAAAAAAAAATCAATATTTTTTGTTGTAAGCATTAAGTATGTTTTAACAGCATGTTTTTAAGCATCAAGTTTGATTTCAGTAAATCTGTAGTTTATGTGATTAAAATTTATTGTCTTGCATATGATGGTTTGTTCCTATAAACGGAATGTTAAGAATACTTACAAGTAAAACATATTCAAACGCGTAAGGATTTTTAACATTCGTGTGTTGACTAGTTTAAGAAACCACAATTAAATACAAATTGAAAGAACGTACTATAGATTAAATATAAAAACACGATTTGCTGTTTAACATTATGGCAATAAGACAATTTGAATATTGATATGAAATTCTTCGGTACTTTGCTCCTTCATGAATATTTCTAAATCACGTTTAATCACAATATATACAGGATTTAGGAATAGTCTTATTGGCTATTTCATAGATGGCCTTTTTTTTAGAGAAAAGAGCTACTTTCAGATTTACAAGCTGGAGTCATTGTTGGCCAGTTACATACAGAATTGACTTCATCAAAATGTAAGCCTTCTGGGCAATCAAAGTCATATCGAACAAATGATTCTCCAGAACCGGAGAAGTCAACACATCTGTAAAACTTATTGCAATCATCTGGATGCCTGAAGAAACCTTCTTGTGAGCACTGAGGACCTCCACCTGACTTTCTGCTGTCTGCCTGGGAACCTTCACTAGAACTAGTCGATCCTGGTGTTTGCCCTGCAGTGCTTGTAGAAGAGTCGGCGTTTCCTGCGTTTGTCTGCTTTCGTGTAGTACTTGTGCTTCCACTTTCACATGGTTCCTCACTCAGTTGAGGATCATTACAGTAACTTGGGCCTTCATCGAATATTCGGCCATCTGGACAAGCAAAGTCTGTCCTTTCTATTTCACCTGTATCTTCATTTCTAGAACACTGATAATATTTAGAGCAATCTTCAGGATTTCTGAAGAATCCTTCCTCGGTGCAGTCACCTTTCGAAACAGAAGATGAAGTTGATGATGCGCTGGAGGAAGTTGTAGCAGATGTTGTGGATGATACTGATTCATCACTTTTAGTAATTCTAGTAGAACCTGAGGTCTCATCGCATGGCTCACTCAGTTCAGGCGCATTACAATATCTACCATTCTCGTCAAAAACGTATCCATCTGGACACTGGAATTTTTCGCTTGTGAAATCATCATTTCCAGGACCTGTCTTATTGCACTGATAGTATTTAGTGCAATCTTCGGGGTCACGGAAGAAACCTTCTTCTGTACACCTGAAAGAACCTTCGTCACAGGGTGGACTTAGTTCTTTAGCATTACAGTACCAACCTTCAGAATCAAAAACATGCCCTTCAGGGCATTCACAGTCTATTTTAATCAATTCCCCAGTTTCATCATCTCGTTTGCATTCGTAATATTTTTTACAGTCATTAGGATTCTTAAAAAAGCCTTCTTCTTTACAATGGAAATCTCCTGCTGATGTCGTTCCAGAACTTGTCCCGGAAGTTGCACTCTCTGTTGTTTTATCTGTTTCCGAAGAAGAAATAGAACCTTCAGATGTACTTGTGCCGTCTCTAGAACTATCTGTTCCCGAAGAGGAGAAAGAACTTTCAGATGTACTTGTGCCATCTCTAGTAGTATCTATTCCTTCAGTAGTAGTTTTTGAGACTTTTTCATCAGATGGTGTGGCTCCTGACGATTCATCGCTGCCTCTTCTGGTTGATCCACTTTCACATCCTGGACTCTGATTTGGCCAATTGCAGACACTGTTTACTTCATCAAATACAAGACCTTCTGGACAATCAAAATCATATCTAACAAATGATTCTCCAGTTCCAGCAAAATCTACACAGCGATAGAACTTACTGCAGTCTTCAGGATGTCGAAAGAAACCTTCTTCAGTGCATTCTATGTTCTCAGAAGATCCACCGTCAGATGTGCCTCTAGTACTTGTTCCAGTTGAGCTACGATTTGCGTCTTCAGAAGTTGTCGACTGTCTATCCTTAGTTGTCGTTGATGAAAAATCTTCATCTCTTGGAGTTGTCGATCGCCGATCAGTGACAGTCGTTGATGAAGAGTCTTGAGATACATCTCCGGTTGTTGAAGAAGTCTCGCTTCCTTCTTGGACTGTAGTTGATGCTCCCGATGAAGTGGTTTGACTGCTTTCCTGGGGGTTCGATGATGTTCCTGAAACTCCGGAATCAGGACTACCAGATGTAGATCGATCATTGCTTGTGGATGATTCACAAGATGGTACTGCCGATGGCCAGTTACAGACATCATTATCTTCATCAAAAACTAAACCTTCTGGACAATCGAAATCATACCGTGTAAATGACTGGCCATCACCTTTAAAATCAACGCACCGATAAAATTTACTGCAGTTATCTGGATGACGATGAAAGCCTTCCTCTTCGCAATCTCCCGACTCAGAATCTTTCTTGGATGTACCGCCTGTACTTTCATAGCCTTCAGTAGTAGAACTTTCTTTTGTGGTACTATCGGAGGACCTCGAAGTCGAGCTTTCAGATGTGGAACTGGTGCTGGGTCTTGTAGTTGCGCTTTTTGATGTGCTAGTACTACTGGATCTTGTAGTCGATGGCTGACTATCCTCACACGGAGGCGCAAGATCTTTTCTATTGCAATATCTCATTTCTTCATCAAATACTTCATCTTCTTCACAAGCAAAATCTTCTCTAGTTAATGTGCCATCTCCTTCGTCGATGCAGCGATAATATTTACTACAGTCATCCGGATTTCTGAAAAATCCTTCTTCTATGCACTCCCCAGATGAGGATGTACTTCCAGAAGAAGCAGTCGTCTTTGTTGTACTAGGGTAAGAGCTTGAAGATGTTGCTGAGGAATTGTCATCGCAAGTTAGTTCTGAAGATGGCCAATCACATTTTTTATTTTTTTCGTCAAATATCAGTCCCTCAGGACATTTAAAGTCATAACGCACTAAATATTCCCCGTCTTGTACACATCTATAAAATTTATTACAATCTTCAGGGCATCTGAAGAATCCTTCCTCCTCGCAATCTGATTTACTGCCTCCTGTAGAGCTTTCCGTTGGATATGCCGTTGTTGCTTTCTGTGTTGTAGATGTAGAAGTTTGTTTTTCTGTGGTATACACAGAAGTTGTTTTATCAGTGGTAGTTCTTGTTTGAGACGATGTTTGTCCTGTTGTGCTACCGTCACAAGGTGGTGCTAAATCTTTACGGTTACAGTAACGCATTTCTTCGTCGAAAACTTCATCTTCTTCACAGGCATAATCTTCTCTAGTATAAGTTCCATATCCTGTATCGATGCAACGATAATATTTACTACAATCATCAGGATTCCTGAAAAATCCTTCTTCTGTGCATTCACCACTAGCTGAAGTGACATCTGAAGTAGTTCCAGAAGTTCCACTTGTCGATGGTCTCGTGGAAGTTGTGTAATCTTTTGTTGTTTGTGGTTTTGATGTTTGTGAGGTAGATGTTCGTGTGGTTTGAGTCGAATATGTTGTTGTAGAATCAGTATCACAAGTAAGTTCCGAAGAAGGCCAATCGCATTTCTTATTTTTTTCATCAAATATTAAACCATCAGGGCACTTAAAGTCATAACGTACTAAATTCTGACCGTCACCTTCTTCATCTACGCAACGATAGAATTTATTACAATCTTCAGGACATCTGAAAAACCCTGGCTTACTGCATTCAGATTTTTCCCCTTTTGTAGAACTTTCCGTCGGATAAACTGCTGTTGTACCTCCTGTTGTTCCTTGAGACTGTGAAGAGCTTGCCTGTTCGGTAGTACTTCCATCACAAGGAGGCGCTAAACCTTTCCTATTGCAATATCGCATTTCTTCATCGAAAATTTCATCTTCAGCACACGCGTAATCTTCTCTTGTGAAAGTGCCATCGCCTTCATCAATACAACGGTAATATTTGCTACAATCATCCGGATTTCTAAAGAAACCTTCTTCAGTGCACTCCTCATATGATGAAGAAGTTGAAGAAGTTGTACCGCTGGTAGTACCTGCTGTTGTTGAGGAACGCGTCGTACTTGCAGTGGATGATGTATAATCCTTCGTGGGCTGAGTAGTTTTCTCAGATGATGTTGAAGAATCTACTTCGCATGATGTATCAGAATGAGGCCAATCGCATTTTTTGTTCTTATTGTCAAATATGAGTCCATCTGGACATTTGAAATCATAACGTACTAAACCTTTACCGTCTCCTGTTTCGTCAACACATCGGTAAAATTTAGTGCAGTCATCAGGGTATCTATAAAAACCTGGCTTTTCACATTCACTATTCTGAGTTGTCGTTGAATAAGTACTACTGCTTTGAGTCGTTGTTGAGTAAGTACTACTACTCTGACTCGTTGTATAACTATCAGTAGTCGAGGCTTCTGAAGATGCAGCACTAGTTTGTTGCGTTGTGCTTTGTGTGCCAACTGAAGAAGAGTCTTCCTTTTGTGAAGTCGAGGTTCCACTATCTGAAGTACTTTCTCTACCAGCATTAGTTTCGCATTTGGGACTTTGCTCCGGCCAATTACAGACACTGTTTACTTCGTCAAAATAAAGACCTTCTGGGCACTCGAAATCATATCTTACATATTGTTGCCCATCATCATTAAAATCCACGCAACGGTAGAACTTATTACAGTCTTCTGGGTTTCTGAAGAATCCTTCTTCTGTACATTCTACATCCCCACCGCTTTCTGAAACTCCTCTGGATGTCGATTCTGAAGCTTCAGTAGATGTACCCGTTGCTGAGTTATCCGAAGAAGATGATTCTGTTGTATAAGTAGATTCTGTCGTAGACGGAGGAGCCTGGGTTGGTTTGCGCGTTGAACGACTAGTTGACGGGGATGACTGCGTAGTGTACGTAGACTCCGTTGTAGAGGGAGGCTGCGTTGATCTACTAGTCGTCTGCGTTCTCGAAGTAGATGAATCTGTTGTAAAAGAAGTAGATTCAGTTGATCTATCCTCTGAAGGATATTCAGTTGATCTATCCTCTGAAGGATATTCAGTTGTACTTTTTGTTGTTTGATAAGAGTCGGTAGTTGTTTTCTCAGCTTTCGTGCTACCGTTTCCTTCCCTTGTATCACAGGGAGCACTTTGTTCAGGCCAATTGCATACACTATTGACTTCGTCAAAAACTAATCCTTCAGGGCATGCAAAATCATATCGTACAAATTCTTGTCCATCACCGTTGTAATCAACGCATCTGTAAAATTTGTTACAGTCTTCTGGGTTTCTAAAAAACCCAGCTTCTGTACATTCACCATCACTCGCGCCTTCATCGGACGTTGAACTTTTATCTCTGCTTTGTGTGCTGGATGAAGCAGACGTAGTCTTTCCCGTTGTGCTCTCTACACCTTTTGATGGAGACGAAGTTGTTGAATCGTCTTCACTACTTCGAGTAGTACTGGAATACGTGCTTGTTGTGCTTTCATCTTTAGGAGTAGAATCTCTGTCTTGCTGTGAGGTAGATCGAGAAGTAGAACTTTCCCCTTGATCTCCACCGCTTTGAATGGTACTAGTAGATGTGCTTGTTGTACTTTCGTCTTTAGGAGTTGATTCTCTGCCTTGTTGTGAGGTAGATCGAGAAGTAGAACTTTCCCCTTGATCATCACCACTTCCTCCAGACTTATCGCCTAAGGTACCATCACAAGGAGCACTTTCATCTGGCCAGTTGCATACACTATTGACTTCGTCAAACACTAATCCTTCAGGGCATGAAAAATCATAACGCACAAATTCTCGTCCATCACCATTATAATCAACGCATCTATAGAACTTGCTGCAATCTTCTGGATTTCTAAAAAAACCAGCTTCAGTGCATTCACCTCTATTCGAGCTTTCATCGGACGATGAACTTTCATCTCTGCTTTGCGTGCTGGATGAAGCAGACGTAGTCTTTCCTGTTGTACTCTCTACAGCAGCTGACGAAGTTATTGAATCGTCTTCACTGCTATGAGTAGTACTGGAAGATGTGCTTGTTGTGCTTTCATCTTTAGGAGTAGAATCTCTGTCTTGCTGTGAGGTAGATCGAGAAGTAGAACTTTCCCCTTGATCTCCACCGCTTTGAATGGTACTAGTAGATGTGCTTGTTGTACTTTCGTCTTTAGGAGTTGATTCTCTGTCTTCTTGGGAAGTAGATCGAGAAGTAGAACTTTCCCCTTGATCTTGCCCACCTCCTCCAGATTTATTGCCTGAGGTACCATCACAGGGAGCACTTTCATCTGGCCAATTGCATACACTATTGACTTCGTCAAAAACAAGACCTTCTGGACAAGAGAAATCATAGCGCACGAATTCTTGTCCATCACCATTAAAATCAACGCAACGATAAAATTTATTGCAATCTTCAGGATTTCTGAAGAAACCTTCTTGAGTACATGTGCCAGATTTTTTATTTTCTCCAGGTTCTTTTGTGCTGTCCTTGGACTCAGAACCTCCATATCCAGAATCTTCAGTAGTTACACCACCAGTCGATGAATCTTCAGGAGTTATAGAGCTGCTAGATGTCGTTGAAGGTTCTTGAGTAGAGCTTTCGGTGGTAGCAGCTGTGGCCTTTACCGTAGTACTTTTTTCTGTCGTGGAAGAAACACCAGACTCTTTTCCTTCACTGGGTGAATCTTTATCATCGTCTTTTTCTACCTTTCCGTCACAAGGTGCACTTTCGTCTGGCCAATTGCATACGCTATTTGTTTCATCAAAAACAAGTCCTTCGGGGCATTTAAAATCATAACGCACAAACTCCTGCCCATCACCATTGTAATCGACGCATCTGTAAAAACGATTGCAATCATCAGGATGTCGAAAATAACCTTCCTCAGTGCACGAAACATCACTGTCAATTTGGTTCGTGTTGTCAGGCGTTGAGGATTCAGTTGTAGATATCTCTTCATCATCTTGTTTTGGCGGATAAGGCGTTCTTCGGCGACTACATGAACTGACGTACCTCTGAGCAACACATCTTGATGTAGTTTCATCATATGCAAAATTAGGTGAACAACTTAATTCATATCTTACAAAATAGTCACCCTTTTTGATGCATTTATAAAACTTATTACAATCTTTTTCATGAGGGTAAAATCCAGGATCTTTACATTTCTGATCGCCATAGTTGTCGGTTACGGGCTTTTCAGTGTATTTTGGTTTCTGGGTGGTTCGTTGAGTGGCATATTTCGTTTTTAGAGTTGTACGTTGAGTAGTATATTCTCGTACTGGTATTAAAGGATTTAAATTATCATTAAAATCATTTCTGGGCTTTGAAGTTGATCGATAGATTTTCGATGTACTTTTTTGAGGTGGTTGATATGATGATCTTGCAGTCGTAGTCGGAGTTTGATATGATGGCCTTGTACTTCTTTGAGGAGGTTGATATGATGGCCTTGTACTTCTTTCAGGAGGTTGATATGATGGCCTTGTACTTCTTTCAGGCGGTTGATATGATGGCCTTGTATTTCTTTCAGGTGGTTGATATGATGGCCTTGTAGCCGTCGCCGGAGGCCGATACGATGGCCTTGTAACCGTAGTCGGAGGTTGATAAGATGGCCTACCAGTAGTTTTGTAAGACTGTCCAATTTCTTCACATGGAGGAGCTTTTTCAGGCCAATTGCATGTGGCGTATTCTTCATCAAAAACTAAAGTATCTGGACATGAAAAGCTATGTGTTTCATAAATACCTGTTGGTTGTTTTACACAACGATAAAAAGATCTGCAATCAGCAGGATGCCTAAAAAATCCTTCAGCTTTGCATTCTAGGGGAGCATTCTTTACTTGTCTTTTAGATCTATTATTTTTCCTACAATTTTGCGCGTCGGAAACAATACAGGAGCTATCCTTCTCACTAAAAACTAACTGATGTGGACATTCGAAGAAATGAATCGCGAAAACTGATTGATCGATTCTCACACATCTGATGAATCGACTGCAGTTCTCGGGATGACTGAAAAATCCTTCACTCAAACATAAAATAGGTTTCTCCGTTACAGATTCTGATATTGGTTTTCCTTTATTGTCATCAGTTTGTATTTCTGGTGCAGAATGCTGAGAGGTATTTTCATCAGGGATCCACCATTGAGACTGCTCTTGTTGTGATTTATAACCTTCGTTGGACTGGATTTCTATTTGATGTGTTTCATCATCCACAATTTCTTGGAAAGCACCAACTGTTTCTTGCTTCTCTTGATGGCTAATTTGGTTTATTTCCGCTTCAGACGCTGGTTGCTGATGTGGTACTTGACCTTCGTTTTGGTTTTTAGTTTGTTCTTGTACACCTGCTGGCTTCTGAAATGATTCAAAGCCTAGATCTGTTTCTTTATCCTGAAAAGCAATTTCCGTAAAGACAGGCATTTCTTGAGCAACTAGTTCTTGTTCTTCAGCTGCAGGATTTTGAAAAATCGGTTGTTCTTCAGGTAGTTGCTCTTGTTGCTGAATTAATGGTTTCTGAAAAACGGCTTGGTTATGAGCTGACTGTTCTTTTTGTTGAATTGTTGGCTCTTGGAAAACAGATTGCTCGTGAGTTAATTGCTGTTGTTGCTGAACAATGGGCTCTTGAAAATTCTGATGTTCAGACATTTCAAGTGCATCTTCTTGAACTGAAGTATCATGAACTGTTTCTTGTTGAGGTTTCATAGGAGATTCTTTACTCGCAGATGTTTCGTGAAAACTTCCTTCAGTTCCGGGTTCACGTATATTTGAGAGGATTTGAGAATCTTGATGATTCCTTTGATCTTGAAAAAACGTGACGTCAAAAAACTGGGGTTCTTGAACGAACTGATTACTAAAATCTTGATGCTCTTCAGCTAGTTGTTCTTGTACAGGATATGGTATATTTTGTTCATCTGATTGCTCCGAAATTACATTATCTTCTAATATAAGTTGCACTTCATCTTCTTTCGGTTTGAATTTGCTAAATGTCTCTCTGATCTTTTCTGGTGCATCGCTGCAAGGGGCAGCCAATTCTGGCCAATTGCAAGCACTAATATTTTCATCGAAAACAAGTCCTGGTTCACATCGTCCAACAAAAACGCTGAATCTTCGGCCATTTCCAAAGTCATCAACACAACGAATATACTGGTGGCAGTCAGAAGGATCACGAAAAAATCCTGCTCCATTATTACAAGCTGGACTTAATGAATGGTAAAAAGGTAAGAGAAGTTCCCGAGTCGATTTTCGTGGATCTACCCTTTTCCATTCTGAAAGAAAAAAAGGAGAATTTGTTAAAAATGGACATAAAATACACAAAATAATAGATTTTTTTTGGAAAATAGTGTTAATATGAAACACCATTTTCCAAAAATTCTGACTTCGTGTACTCTCTTTCGTCTGAATATGGAAGAACGTATGACATTGTCGACAAATAATAATTGTGTTTACAGATGTGAGTACGTAAACTGAAATGAATAAAATCAATGACTTTCAACCATGGACGACAGTATGCAATGGCACAAAAATGCATCTGCTACATCCAAGACCCATACCTAATATATGGGTTCACAAGTTGCATCCGCCTGATAATGCTGATTTCAATATTATTTCTATCCTTTAATTAGATGCTTTGCTGTTAAATCGTTTGCAAGCTGATATAAACTTATTCAGTAATAATTATCTTATTATTCTGAGTTCTGGAAAGGTGAATATTAAATATTGTATTGCTTTTAATATTATTTCTGTGATTGTTTTCGATTACTTTAAGAGATTTCTTGCGAGTATAAAATTTTTCCACGAATGTCGACTGTCCCTGTACATTTTATATGAAACATATCATTTTATTTCTATTGTAGTTAGTGTTTCACGCATTCTAAGTAATTTTAATATTCCTCTATACTGCATGCTAACATCTTTTTCTATAGAGTATGAGAAAATTGTTCTGCAAATAATTCTATTTACACTGCAAATTTTGAATCTTAAGTTTTTTACTTGTCAGTTTTTCTAATCTGGCAATAGTAGAAGCTGCCTTTTCCAAAGTTATAAGTTTGGAACCGCTACCCTTTTCAGTCTTTTTTAAGAAAGCTGTCAAAAATTAGCTCTCTGTCGCCTTTTAATGTGCACAAATAATTTCAATATAGGCTATTTTTTAATTTAAAAATATGCTACTTGCAGAGTACTATTTACCGTTCTTTTTAGTAAAAATTATTAACTCAAATAACTTTATCAGATTATTAATTGAATTAACCAAGTTTATCTCTGGATCTTTACTATAACTTCTCCTTTCCGTTTTCCTCACCAGCATGCAAATGATTTAGCCAGTATTTAAACTGAGGTTTTGTGGTTTTAAGATGGAGCGGAATTTCTGGCTTGCACGCTATGTGTTACTTTCCTGCACACATAGCGTGCATGTGTTACTTTCCTTTTATTTCTGCTTGCACGCTATGCGTTACTTTCCTGCCAGCTCTGATAGTTTCAATTATTAGGCTGTGCGTTATATCGCTGCTAACACTTTGACGCTCCGGTAGACCGAACCAGCTTCTAGTAATAATTAACTGTGAAGTCTTTGACTACTGTTCCGTGTTTAACTTAAATTCCACTGCTCTGTTTAGTTGCATTAGCTGATATTGTTAACAGAAGAGAGTGCTTTCTTGTCCTAAATTTTATTTAAATAAAAAGATTATTTAAACCTTCTCAAAACTTTGTTGTAACCTGAACATAATGATAAGTCTCTAAGACACGTTTTAGGTTTGTTGAGGGTTATTGGACTAATTACCAGCAAAACACCACAAATTCATTGATTGTATTACCAAAGTTTGATAGATGAATATATGCAGTAAATTACGTGCTGAGTATAAGTAATTTTTTGTTGCTATTTAATTAACGTGTTTCTTTACGAAATGTTAGTATCAAATTCTCAGGGGATGCGAAATATTTCGCAAAACTGTTAATACAAATCTCAGGCCGCGAAATTTCTTAATATGTCCAACGATTGTCTCGGGAATTTCGTTTTTTTTCCTGCAATGAAGTTACTGAAATTCACAAGCATCAGTAGTAAAAATTCAGTAGCAATCTAAACCATTGTATGCAGTCTCATAAAAAAAATAAGCATCATAATGGAAGGGCTTTTCTGAACAATTCTTAATGGACTGCAGATAATCTCTTAAAGTTTATAGCAGTAATTAAAAAAACAGGGCTTTCATATGGATTATATGGATAATAAGATAAACAGAGATTTTGTCTTTGTAACTAACACTGTGCATTTCTTTTGATGTTTTATACCAGAAGGTTAAATTTAGGTTTTCAAAATGTGTTTCTTTATTTTTAATAAACCTCGTAAATATTAATATCAATATATGATAAATTCAGCTTTAGCTCATGTGTGTCTACACAGTAAAAAGATTTCAAAAATTTCGCATTAATCAAAAAAGTGGCAAGTAAATACATCTGAGAAAAACGTGGTCTTAAGTAAAATAAATAATAATAATAATAATAATAAATTATCAAGCTGATTATAAAATGGATGGTGAAATATATTTAATAATACCACAAGCCAAGGCAGAACACTATCATCGATAATTCTGGGAAAAGTTCTGAGACTGTTTAAAAGTTTCTGAGTAGAATCATAATTTATAATAATCTTAACTTAGCAAAGATACGGGAATGTTCAACAGAAGTAAAGAAATGGAGAAATTCTCCAGAATAACATAGATAGCAACACAATTATTTATAAGATGTACAGCAGATTAAATAAAGCATCGTTAATGACTTGTACGGCTTATTCTGAAAGACCTTAAAACTATCTAAGGAAGAACTTTTTTTCAAACGTGCTTAATATAGGTGAAGTAATAAGACATTATGATTGAGTATTAAGCCTCCCATGAATTGTCTAGGTTTTCTGTCTGGAAGGAAATTATAACTGTAGCATGGATGTTTTAAGTAACTCGTGTTGAGAATAATTAACATAGTAATAAACGCATAACAGGAATATGAATTTGGTTAATAATATAATGAGTATGATGCTTAAGCGTAGGCTTATCGTTTAGGCAAACTCCAGTATTTAAATATTATTCCAATGACGAAGTATGAGGAACTGCATGATTTTTGACGCAGAAAAGAAGCTGCAAAAGCGTCTATGAGAAAATTTTTCAGCATCTACTACCGTTAATTTTTCGTTCTTCAGTGTGTCAATCGGGAAGAAATAGCTTACAAGCCTTTTTTTCCCTTCACACAAAACTGATCATTTCTGGAATTAGTAAGAATATTGATGCTATTAGTAAGAATCACGGTGGAATTAGTAAGAATAACGATGTTATCTGTAACGAACAGAAAAGTGCTAATATATATCAAGAAAGATAAAACGGATTCTGAAAATGTACTGATAAATGAGTACAAAAGATAAAATTTATAGCATGGATACCATTAGAGAAGTCATAAATGATTTGAACGCATAATTTCCTTACATTTAGATGGAAGCAAAACTCACAGGTTATCACATAAGAAATAATTTTTAGATTTCAACAGCGTGCTTCGTTATTAATGAAATAAGAATTGCCACTGCCAGTTTTAATTATAAGGGAATGTCAAACCACCAAAATTTCAACGAACTGCTTTATTAGTAACATTGAAATAATGTTTAGCCATCAGTAGTTAATATAAATCAGGTCTGGGGTTCGATCCCCGGGCTAGGCAAGGTTGACTCAGCCTTTCATCCCTTGATTGGGTGTATAAAATGAGTACCAAGTTCGCTTGGAGACTAAACACCAGGGGTTCTGCGACAAGCTGACCACTTGCCCAGGTCATATGCTGATGAACTCCGAGAGTCAAGGTCAAGAAAGCAGATTTCGGGGCACTGCAGGCCGTGGCCCACAAGGGCTGTTGCGCCACTGAGTTTAGTTAATATAAGTTAGTCCTTAATAGCTAAATATTTAGTTTCAGATGAAATACAAACCTGCGTGTAAATAAAAACATCGTGCGCGTGCTGCCTAACCGGGATAGTGGTTAGTGACTCTGCCGTAACAAAGAGCTCGGTTTCGAATCCCGGAGAAGCCATAGATATTCGTACACTGTCTGTGTGGCATGGGGTCACTCTAAATATACGGCAAGCTGAAAGTCTTCTCGAGAGGTTGGCGGTAGGGAAAGAGTGAAGAGGGAGAAACTCGAACCCGGGATGCTGTCCTTCAAAACTGGGGGTGGAACTGAGTAAAAGTCGTACTGTCATCTGTATGGTGCCCAACGACAGGCAAGGAATTTTGCCTTCTTGCCACGTTGAATTCACTGGGCTTGCTATGATATCAAACGAGAGATAAGTCACAACAACAACATTGTGCGCTATTTTCTATTTCTGGATGAATACAAAGACTAACCCGCTAAAAGCTGCCATATTAGTTTTGTCTCCCGAAGATAGCTTATTTCTCCGATTTCTTTGAAGAAGAAGCCTTGCAATATACTTCGAATGGCACAGAAAATATCCGAGGAAAGCTGCTTAAAAGTGAAAGGCGGTGACATCCAAGCTGATCATGTTAGAGGATAAAGCAGTAGTCTCAAACACAAATAACATACAAGCTGAAAGCATGATTTAAAAGTAGTTGACGAACCGATTTCTTTTAACTAATACGAAAAGTACTTTTTTAATAAAATCTTTTCAACGAAACTAAATATTAAATTTTATTTACTAAATATTTATATCATACATACAAAATAATAATAATAATAATAATGACACTAAGGAATAAACACAATTTTTATTTATTTTCTATGTGAAATCTATAGCTAGTATCTACATGAAATTTCTTATGGTTGCACTTTGTAATTTAAACAAATTTGCAGGCTGACATTTATTTCAAATAATTCTAATGCTTTTAATTAACTTCTAAAGAACTACTTTCAATTCAAACTAAAATACGTAAACTAAGTGGGACAAAATATGAGAACAAATGGTGACAAAATTCTCAATAAATCATTAATTTTTTAAACGTGTACGGGAAAATTGCATATATCTGCGTGCAAATTATTCTCATTTTTTTTTTTTATTTCTCACTACAACTTTCAGTTAAAGTACTTCACCAGGGCTCCATTTGGATAAACCTTCTAATTCTGGAGAAAAATTGCTAGAAAGAATCTTCAGATGCTGATTATTCATTCTGGTTCTGTTCTTAGACTTACCAATTTTCAACTGCGAAGAAACTTGTTCACATATAAATGTACTTCCAAATATGTTGCCAAAATATGTATTATTATACTATATTATTATATGCAAAAATATATATTATTAGCATACTTATTGCAAAAATTGGCCCACCAGCGGCCGAGCGGTAAAGTCGCTGAACACTGGTAGTTCGGTTCGAGGTTCGAATCACGCGAACGGGCTGGCTGCATGGGCGTTTTCGTGGTTTTCCCCATGTGTAACGTGTATACGAGCCAGTTTCCCTTAGAAAGACCTCCACGAAGGCATCCCTCCCCTTAGGCAGATAGCCCTAGTGTGCTTTGCCATAATTAAATACACCACACCATATTGCAAAAATTTTTAACTGAAGTTTATTTATGCTTTGAAATTTTAAGAATATATGTATTTTCAAATCTTAAGCAAGGAAAAAAGTTAATCAAATCTGCATTTTCAAATCCTTGAATACGATTTAGATCACAGTGGAATTAATTAGCGCCATTTGCAGATTTTCTGGAGCGTTACTCGCATCTTAGCTTCAGAAAAATGTTCAGGATTAGTCCTTTTAGTATTGTCCTTTATATTGTTACCAGAATTTATCTTAATCTTTATATTGTTACTAGAATTTATTCGGATTTTTTGATTTTAATGAATAAAAGACTTATCAGATTATCTCTTAAAATGAGCTTTGTATTTTAAATTAATTTGGGTAACTTTAAAATTTGCGGGTAACCTATATATCTGTTAGGGATACATTCGTCTGAAAAAGTCAAGATTTCAAATATATCAGCGAAATAATTTGATGCTTTAGTTTAATGGAATAATTATTTAAATATTCAAAAATTCAACTCACCTTTTCTGTGCCTAGCGTTGATTGTTGCAACGGCTATGGAGAAATATAGTAATGTACATAGGAGTTTCATGACGAAGCTCTGAAAATAAAATATATAGACCATCAGAAACCACTTACAATATTAATTGTTATTTGAAGACAGTAATAAACTATCCACAATTATATTTCTTTATGTTAACTTATAAATACAGTTATTAGAACATCCGAACATATTACATGAAATACTGGACTTGAAGCTTTAATTTTGATTGTGAGTATAGCAATAATCACTACTACTAAAAGCATTTAAAAGGAAGAAAAAGATTACCTCAGTAACTCGTCTTAAAATCTCATTTAAAATCATATTGACAGGTTGAACATCAAAATTAGAGTACAAGAAGTACTTTTACAACTAAAAGAAGAAAACGTTACAAGAAGAAAACTTTTACAAAGCTAAAAATTTAATAATTGAAGAAAACATGAAAGATAGCAAGCGATTCGTTAAGATAGGATTGTTTAATTCTTAAAACCGTGCTCTTTGCAATGGAGTTAAAACCCTGAACAAATTGCTGTTTAAAAGCTATAAAAAGAATTAATGCAAGAAACCAGTTTAAAGTACGATTGTTTAATTTTTAAAATTCTGATCTTTGTTTTGAAATTTAAATCTTGAGAAGATTTCTGTCTTTAAGATAACTAAAATTAATATTCATACCATTTTACCCTATTCTATTAATTAATGTGTGTACTTAAAAATATAAGCAATACATTGAAACCATCGTGAAGGTAAACCACAGTTTAATCCGAAAGCTAGGGAAAAATTCGAGTTATTTCTAATTTTTGTACCGAAATTGCATATAAATTAACAAGCACAGAGGATTTATTTATCTATTTGAAAAGAGAAAGCTCTAGTTTTGAGTTTTTTCAAAAGTAAACTTTTCAATATAATGAATATAAAAATATTGTTATAATTTCAATTAAAATAACTTTTTTCTTTTAATTAGGGTCCGACTTTAAATACATTTTTCACATCATATCAATTGAGCTGCCTAAAGCTTGGTATGTTCTACTTTTATAAGCTGCTGCTATGCTCTACTTTTACAAGCATCAGCTAAAGAAGTTTCAGGGTTGGAAACGGTTGCTGCAACGCCGAGTAAATCGTAAAATTCCCCATAAAATGCTACTTCCGTAGACAAATTATCAACTTAAACTGAACGGATGCCGAGAAGAAATCTGTTATGTTTCGGACTGGCGAAATGAGGAACCCGGTTCTTTTGAACCTACCTACTAAGCGGCTAAGCTATTAGCAGTATTATATCATACGGAACATTTTAGATCGAGGAGTAAAATATGCTGCTCTTGGGAATCCTTCGGTACTGATTTTACAATAATTACTTTTTAGTGTATGCTTTGGTTGTCTGTGCTATTGCTAAGTCTGACAGCCTCACAAGACTTGCTGAACTTGACTTCCATAGACTGAATTGATTCTTTTCTAACCTAGTGAACTTCTCAATTCTCCTTTCCATTTCGGGTGCTTGTATCCGAGTCAATAGCAGCGCCAAAGGAGGATCCCTAGTATCCAAGATAAGGGACTATGCAATATAACCAAAACTAAGGTTTTAGTCAAAACCATTGTGACAGCTTGAGTTTCGGCTAAGGCTCAACTCGTGACTGTATTCCATCCTTACTAAATCAGCTATACAGAACAGTAACCAGCTCTAGGTAACATTTGCCTGACCAGAAGACGCATAATATGAGTTTAACTAATGGATTTATCTATCATCCAACTTTATGTATCCATAAAATTTCTAACTGGTTTTACTAAGAACCGAAGTTTTTAACCCGAGGAATTATTTAAATTAATTGGCTGTAAAAGTGGAATTTGCAATTTTTATGGTTAAATTTCGAGCTGCTTATTGTACCTAAATTAGGTATTTGCTTGGGCTTGAAGTTTCGTTAATATTGAACATAGATATAATTAAGCTTAATTGCAGAATGGGAATGAAAACGGTACGGCCAGATTCAATTAAGTAAAACGATAGATTAAAAGAGTATTGGTCCTTCGCTAGTTTAATTAATAGTAGTAATTAAATAATTCAGTTGTATGATCTGAGCAAAGTCTTAATAGGATTTCCATATTAGAAAACTGAACAACATTTTCACGATATCGATTCCATTATTACATGTGTTATGAATTGCTTCAAATGCAACATTCGGTTAAATTTTAAGGAGACTTCACATTATTTTATACTAATTCAAAATACATACTTTTTTTTTCCATTTTGGGGATAATTTTTCAGAAGCTATATTGGTTGTTTAGTAATCAATCCATTTCCTTACTGTTTTGTTCTTCATGCTAAAAGTTTTGACCATTAAAAGCGCACAATTTATAATAAGAATTGTATACGAAAGTAGAAATTTGTGATTCTTTCTGACAATCAACAACGGAGTTACGCTGCAGAAAAAATAATCTGATTAGAAAAGGATAGCTAAACTTCTTAGATCTCATATGGTTAAATAATAATAATTTGTTTTTCTCAGCCTGTTCTTTTTGTAACGTATAAAACTAATTTAAAATCATTATATTTTTATTATTATTTTTAATGCTATTCTGCGTAGTACTTAAAAACTTATCTTGGTTGTCAACATAGGCTATATTAAATCTTTTTCTTTTCTACTCTTTGAAAAATAACTTCTCAAAAGAGAACTTTTACGCCCTTGGAATTACGCCCAAGCTTTAGAGTTTATGGAAATACTGGATTCATTAGACTGTAAAATGAGCATTTACTCTCATCACCACAATATTAAAAGCAACTATACAATAATATGTAGCTTCTTCTACATCCTAGATTAATTATGCAAACTTGTGACACGCGTGTTAACAGTAAAAGGCAACAGCATTCGAGGTAATACACCATCATTCGCCAACACCTAAGAACTAAACTTCCTGTCTGAATTCAGGTCAGCTTTTGTATTCGCGTGAACAAGAACAACACTAATTATTAAAAAAATTTTCTTTGTTTTAGTTCAACAATACCGCTGCTCGAAATAAGTGCTGCTTGCTAAAATTACCTATCTTTCATTTAAAAAATGTGCGTTAAATCTCAGTAACCACTATGCCTTAATTGATATTTAGTAATTTTTAGTACATAATTTTAGCTAGAATTCAGCACATAATTTACTATAATTCAGTACATAATTTTAATCAGAGTTAAATATATAATTCTGAAAACTTATAATTTTGAGGATATATTTTTATAATTTTTTATTAATATCAAGAAATTTACGTGCTTATAAGATTTGAAGCTCTTTGTATCTCTAAATTAAGATTTCTCAAAATTATAATTTCCTTGGTTTCGAACATGATCTTTCTAAAACTGTCGGTGAAGCTTGCCAGAAATTTTTACCAATTGTACAAATTTATTGTGATTGTATGATTATAACAAAATGACAAACAATTGTATTTTTCGCGTAAAAATATAATGTATTTTTTAACTTTATGTTAAAAACAGATGGTATGGGCTTTTCCTCCTCTTTAAATAGTTTTTGCATATAGATATGATTTTTAATAATCTATTTTCTCATTATTATTATTTTATATGTGACTTGGTTCGTTTACTTGTATTTTATTTTGCAGTAGTTTTACTTTTTGCTACAGGATGCCTCAAAGATCATAAATATTATGATTAAATGCCTTTTACACTGTTAATCGCAGACTCATATGATTCCGCTTCGTTAAATGAATTGATTAAAGGGGATTTTTTGGGATACTAAATTTTTATCATGTGGACACCTTTTAATAGAAAATATCCATGAGAAAGAAATAAAAGAAATTTTACATGATAGAATTACTCAAGAAAAATTTGAATTGATAAAATTAAAATTATCTATGATATTCTCAAATAAATATTTAGGTGACCGTATGAAACGAGTGCTAAGGATAAGTACTATGTAGTATGTTAAGTTTTCTGAATGAAAGCTTTCATATCAGATAAATATTAACAAAAGCATTTGTTTTAAGTTTCTTATCATATAAATAAACTAAGCAAAAGGAAAACTTAAAAATAAACTAAAACTAAGAAAAACTAAGAAATAAACTAAGAAAAAGGATCAGCCTGAAACACGTTGAATTCCCTTTTGCCAATTGGTATCGAGAGATTTCCCAATTACCACAATCTATAGATAAATCTCAACGATTACAACTCAGATTTTACATCTTTCAGATTTTTACCGTCTTAAGCTGTTAAATTAAGATGCACCAATAAACTGCAAATGCCAGTCTTCGAAAGTTTACAGTAACAGATATATCACTTTTACTTGATCGACATTCATTCTAGAGAAGAACTGTTACTTGCCAGAAAAATATGTGAATATTTTCAAGTCACATTTTTATTCGGTTCGAAAAAAAAATGCATGTGAACTAGGGCACTCACTGGAAAATATACGTATTTTTTTTCTCTTAAGTAAAATATGCAAAACAAGTCTGGCCTCATCCTGAATGCTTAACGCAGTCAATAAACATCTTGAATCAAGGACAACTTCAAAATCAATGGAGTGTTATTACCATATTGAAGTAGTCTGAGGTGTTTATTCACAGATGAGCATTTGTGAAGCATCTTAAGTTATATTTATTATTCATTTGTGCTATCTTCAAGAGTTAATTAAATCAACAGGAATGAACAAATAATAGCTGGCATTTGTTAATTACTAGAACGCATGTAACAATACAGGTGGGCCGAATTCAACACCAATTCATATAAAATTCTTGAATCTGTCAAATCTTTTACGTAAAAGGTTAGGATATTTAGATGCGGCAAACTACACGAGAAAAGGATTTGTCGAAAAGGAGGGATGCTTTCGTAGAGGAATTTTAAGGTAAACTAGTCTTGTATTCACGTTATACATGGGAAAAAACAACCATGTAAGGAGCCCCGTTTGCCAGGGTTTCAATCTGGGTCGAGCTTCTAGTTTTCAGAGGTACTGAATTATTTGGCCTCTGGAAAGGCTTCTTTATGTAAGAACAAATAGAAAAAAATAAACTTTTACGCATAAGCGTCTCTATTAACGCGACATTTGAAATCGGCATTGAATAAAAACAAATTT